CCAATAAAATTAAAACAAATAATCATTCTAACTAATTGTACTTCTCTTTTAATAGGAAGGGGATTTCAAGTCTAAAATTAGAAATGGTTGGTTTTGTTAAGCTCTCTTGGCTCAATAATTTTGTCTGATACATAAAAAGTAGGCAGTATCATTTAATCTTGTGATAATGTAGATGGATATGGTATTATTTAATTCAATAGTTTATCCGGACTTTGTTTCTTGTAAGGGATAAAATAATGCTGTGAAGTTGTTAGAAGTTCATTCAATCGATCAAGCTAAGCGCCTTCTCGTGCTACTGTTTCAACCTATCAATCTTTCTATCTATAAGTGTTGTTAGTTCAGTGGTGCCGAAAGTGATTTACTTTCTGTTATTGTCAATCTCTTTGCAGGTCAAGGTTTTGCCACGGGAAAAATAAACCTAGGAGAAATAGAAGTGGTGAAAATCACCAAGTTCCATAGAGTTTGGAGCTCTGATTCATCGCATGGAAAGTCAAAACATGCATCATTTTACAGACTGGAGGAAATTCCAGAAGGTTTCCACTGCCTTGGTCACTATTGCCAGCCAACTGATCAGCCATTGCGAGGTTATGTACTTGCAGCTCGGGCTAGCGGACCCATCAATGCTGATGATCTCCCTCCCCTGAAAAAGCCTGTCAGTTATTCTTTAGTTTGGAGTGTGGATTCTGAGAAAAATGGCGGTGGCTACTTCTGGCTACCTAATCCTCCGGTTGGTTACAGAGCAATGGGAGTTGTTGTAACAGATGAACCAGGGGAACCTGAAACAGAGGAGGTTAGATGTGTAAGAGAGGATCTTACCGAGAGTTGTGAAACCTCAGAGATGATACTTGAGGTGGGTTCTTCAAAGAAGTCAAACCGCTCTGGTTCTCCTTGTAATGTATGGAGCATCAGACCTTGTGAGAGAGGGATGCGATCACAAGGTGTAGCTGTTGGATCATTCTTTTGCTGCACTTATGATCTGTCTTATGGTGAGACGGTTGCCGATATTGCGTGTTTGAAGAACCTTGATCTGACTTTACATGCGATGCCAAATCTTGACCAGGTCCACGCGGTTATCGAAAACTATGGACCAACTGTCTACTTCCACCCTGAAGAGACTTACATGCCTTCATCCGTACAATGGTTCTTTAAAAACGGAGCTTTGTTGTATCGATCAGGGAAATCGCAAGGCAAACCGATTAACTCCACGGGTTCGAATTTACCTCCTGGAGGGCGCAATGATACAGAATTCTGGATAGATCTTCCCGAAGACGAAGAGGCAAAGAGTAATCTCAAGAAAGGAAACCTCGAAAGCTCTGAGCTTTACGTTCATGTGAAACCAGCACTTGGTGGAACCTTCACCGACATAGTGATGTGGATTTTCTGCCCCTTTAATGGCCCGGCCACGCTCAAAATCGGGGTCTTCACTTTACCTATGACCCGGATAGGAGAACACGTTGGTGATTGGGAACATTTCACTTTCCGCATATGCAACTTCTCTGGTGAGCTTTGGCAAATGTACTTCTCTCAGCATAGTGGTGGTGGTTGGGTTGATGCATCGGATATCGAGTTTGTTAAAGGTAACAAGCCGGCTGTGTACTCATCTAAACACGGGCATGCAAGTTTCCCACACCCGGGAATGTATCTCCAAGGCTCATCGAAGCTCGGGATTGGAGTGAGAAACGACGTTGCGAAAAGTAAGTACATTTTGGATTCAAGCCAAAGGTATGTGATTGTAGCAGCTGAGTATTTAGGCAAAGGAGCTGTGATCGAGCCGTGCTGGTTACAGTATATGAGAGAATGGGGACCAACCATAGCCTATGATTCAGGGTCTGAGATCGATAAGATCATGAACCTTCTTCCTTTGGTGGTTAGGTTCTCTGTTAAGAACATTGTTGATTTGTTCCCTATTGCTCTCTATGGAGAAGAAGGTCCAACGGGACCAAAGGAGAAGGATAATTGGGAAGGAGATGAGATGTGTTGAAAGAAGAAAGTCTCTGAGTTAAGAAGAAGGTTTAGTGGGAGCTAAAGTCTCTTTGCTAAGTATTTGTGTGTGATCAGTACTGTGTGATTTGTAATACAGTATAAGAAAAGGGTTTGATAATGTTAAAGAGCATATGAAAGATGTATTTGTTACTTACTCTTTGTTCTTTGTGCAATTGTGCTATAAACCAATCCGGTTTAGTATGTTAATTGTTCAGTTTGAGACGACGGTCTATATATACCGAGTTTCGAAATCAGAAATTCTTAAGTAGGCCAAATTTCGGTTTTCTTCAAACCAGATGATCTTAACCATTTCTCTAGTGTTTTTTCTTCGTGTTGAATAATTATGCTGGTACGGTATAAAACCGGTTCTTGTTATTTCGGTTTAAGAGTGTGGATATTGAAAACCTGAACCGTTCTCTTGAGAGAGAGATCTCTCTATCCCCTTCATCTCTGATAAACCTCTCTCACTGCTTTCACTTCATCGTTAGCTGCAGTTCAAAAGCCGGCGACTTTCCGGCGAAAACATCAATCACACAGGAATATTGATTTGCTGCAATGGAGGTTATGACCTAGATATGGTTTTCCCCTTGTCGTTGAATTTCACTTTGGCGTTAGTGCTGCGATGGATTTCATTTCCGCTTCTTCCATTTCTTCACCCTTTCTCACACAGTTTTCTCCGCTTTCTCTGAGCCCAGGTCTAGTATCGTTAAAGTCCAGATATCGAGTCAAAAACCGGAAATTTGGGTCTAGAGAATCCGGAAAATCTAGGAAAATTGTGCCCATTAGAGGCTGTTTTGGGTTTTCCGGCGTAAATGGTAGTTTTGTGAGCTCGAACCAGTCTGATAATGGGAACAAAGTTTTTTCGGAATCATTGAGATTATGTAGAGAAGGAAATGAGCTAGTGTCATCATCTGGGTATAGTGGAAAGACGAGAGAGAGCGTAATACAGTTTGTATCTAAGCCTTTAGTTTACGCCTTGTTTTGTATTGCAATTGGTTTTTCACCAATTCAGTCTTTTCAAGCTCCAGCTTTAGCTGTGCCCTTCCTCAGTGATGTGATATGGA